GCCTGTGGTCCCAGCTACTTGGGAGGTGGAGGCAAGAGACTCGCTTGAGCCCAGGAGTTGGAGGTTCCTGTGAGCTGTGATGCTATGGCACTCTACCCAGGGGGACAGCTTGAGGCTCTGTCTCAAAAAAATAAATAAATAAATAAATAAAGCAAGTTGGCTCCTTATATTCAAGTGTACCCACCCCACTAAAATCTTTTCCATATCTCTCCCAACTAGCAGACAGCATTAGTGATAAGACCTCTGGTGGGAGGGGCGCCCATAGCTCAGTGGTTATGGTGCCACCCACATGCTCTGGGGCTGGCCGGTTTGAACCCGGCCTGGGCCTGCTAAACAAAAAAAAAATGGCTGGTCATTGTGGTGGGTGCCTATAGTCCCCGCTACTCGGGAGGCTGAGGCAAGAGAATCGTTAAAGCCCAAGAGTTTGAGGTTGCTGTGACACTACAGCATTCTACTGAGGCCGACATAGTGTCTCAATTTAAAAAACAAGGAAAACTCCAGTGTTCTGGTTAGGAGATTGGATGCTGGCTCAGGGCCTGTGGCTCAAATGGCTAAGGCGCCAGCCACATATACCTAAGGTGGCGGGTTCGAATCCAACCTGGACCCGCTAAACAACAATGACGGCTGCAACCAAAAAATAGCCGGGCATTGTGGCGGGCACCTGTGGTCCCAGCTACTTGGGAGGCTGAGGCAGGAGGCTTGCTTGAGCCCAGGAGTTGGAGGTTGCTGTGAGCTGTGAAGCCATAGCACTCTACCCAGGGGGACAGCTTGAGGTTCTGTCTCAAAAAAAAGGAGATTGGATGCTGTCTTGCCCAACCTAATCTGATGACTTCCAATAGGAAATTGAACAGCGACTACAGCAGCAGGCAGCCCTCTCCCCCACCACGGCTCCAGCTGTGTCCAGTGTCAGTAAACAAGAGAACATCATGAGACATCATACACTTCGGCAGGTGAGGAACTTTTTGTCAGACCCTAATTTCTCTCAAGAGTTTATCATCCATTTATCTCAATTTGTCCTTTCCTTCTTGGGAAGTCATAGTGCTCTTCTGTACCACCACATCTTTGACTCCCTTTAACCTTCCATCATAGCAGAGTTGTATGATTTTTCTGATCATTTCAGGCTCCACAGCCCCAGAGCAGTCTCCAGCGTGGCATACCCACATCTGCTCGCTCCATGCTTTCAAACTTCGCACAGGCACCCCAACTGTCTGTGCCAGGTGGCCTCCTTGGTATGCCAGGTAAGAAGAGTTGAGCTGAAAGCTTTCTTCACGAATCCTGTTAGTACACAGTTCTTTAGCAGCCCTTTCAGATTGATTGTCCCTTCCTTTGCTTTCTGTTCTTTCTAGGGCGTACTCCCTCACTGTTTGTTATTCAGCAGCTTATTAAATTCATACTATATGCCAGCCACGTCACACAAGGATTGTGATAGCAAAAATGACATAGTCCCTCCCATTATAAAAATACATAAATTAGGAGTGGCACCTGTGGCTCAAAAGGGTAGGGCACTGGTCCCATATGCCAGAGGTGGGGGGTTCAAACCCAGCCCCGGCCAAAAACTGCAAAAAAAAAAAACACATAAATTAAATACATAAATTTGAATTTAATGTGCCTTCCGTGGGCCTGTGGTTATTGATCTTTTTGGGCCAGTACAGCAGGGTCACCTTGTCCTGTTTGAATAATTCAGGGACGCTCCTCCATAATTAGCAGTCCCAAAATCAAAGCATATTCAATGATTCCATCTTTCTGTCTTATTCATTTTCCTCACCACTGTCTACTTGTCTCTCACTATACTATTAGGACCATGTTCATCACTCCTGGTGGGATTGAAATTTCAAGCAGACCCCTTTTCCAATGCTTGGGAGTAGGAATAGATAATTGCTATTGAAATAAAGCTAGCTAAGTCTAGGCAGATGCAGGCAAATTCTAGTTTTCCTTCCCACTTGCCAATTCTGCAGCCCAATGGTAATATGGAAGGGAATGTCATTTCCTCTATTAATACCTGCACTCTACTTTTGTCTCCTGGGTCTAGGTGTCAACATTGCATACTTGAATACTGGCATCGGAGGACACAAAGCCCCCAGTTTGGCAGACCGACAGCGTGAATACCTTTTAGACATGATCCCTCCCCGGTCTATATCGCAGTCCATTAGTGGACAGAAATAACGCCTGTTCCACTTGTACTGCCCCAACCTTGAATCCTTTCCCTCTTTCCTCTCCCGTTCCCCCAACTTCCATCGCATGCAGTGCCTGTACTGGTGCCTACCATACACGGAAAGAAAAACAGAAGACAAAAAAATAGAAATCAACAAGAAAACACACGCCCTGCCCCACCACCTCCCCTTTGTCTCACACTGCTGCGATCTGTTCTTCTGCCACTCTCTCTTCTCTCTTCAATTTTAACAGTGAGGTGGATCTCTACCTCTGATAGAGGTCAGAATGAGGTCCTGGGGAGAATCTAAGCCCTCCAATGTGTGTTTCTAAAGTTTGTTTTATTCTAGAATTACTGTCATTTTTAATAATGTTATGTGTCTTCCCTTTGTTCAGTGAATGGTTAAACCTTCCTTCTGCCCCAGTCTTTTTCTTTTCTTTGCTTTCTTCCTTCTTCCCCTGATAAACACAGATGATATTCAGTTCAATGATAAGAGCATTGCAGATTGCAGTAGGGACCCCAACTGCCAAGTGGAACATGACTGGGAGTATTAGGGGCAGATGTTTCAAATTCACTTAACGGGGGGTGGGGGGGGTAGCATCACATAAGGAGGAACAGCACTGCAACTGCAGGTGTTCTGGAAAGTTTGGGAGGCAGTGTTTAGTATCAAAGTTGGGCTCTAAGAATGAAGGGAAAGAGCCTGGAGGGAGAAGCTTTAAAACTCAACCACCCTGGAATTTACCCATGGAGGAAGGCAAGATGATGATGAGCAGAATGGTGAGCCAGGGAAGACAGACCAGGTTCTGCCTTCTAGATGTGGGGGGAGGGAGTAAGATTGGTCTCTTGACCCCCATGGGGACACAGGAGTCTATTCCAGGCCAACTTAGCTTGAAATTATTTTATTTTCTTTGTAAAGTTCTTCCTCACCCTATCCCCTTTTTTACCCCCTTTTAAAAATTCTAATCTATCCCCTCTAGTCATAGCCCCATCTATAGTATAGAGGAATGGCTGTTCCCAGGCTGTTTGCCAGGTACCTAAAAGTTAGAATAGGCATGAATAGAAGAAGGGATTTCTCTCCCAACAATTGAGATTTTTCACATTTGTCTTTCCCTTCATCCTCCTCCCAGGAGTCAAGGATAAAGCACTTAATCAGCTTGGAGTCCTGCCCCAATTCTGCTGCACTGAACACAGAACCAGCTGTGCAAAACTAGACAGCTCGTGTCACAACCAGCTTAGGACCTCTGCTATACAAGCAGTTGTCATTTCCACCACCACCACCACCCCAGAATTCTATTAATTTTGCTTTTTCTTTTCTTTTTTTAGTGCTACTAATGCAGAGAATGAATTGAATTGTGCAATGTTGCAGTTCTGGGGACTGGGGAGGTTAGCATCCCATTTGCCCACACTGGGGGGGGGAAGGGCCCAGGGCTGTTTTTGAGGTAAGGGAAAGCCCTTACAGGTGTGGGGCCTCTGCACTCCTTAGTGTACCCCACCTGCCTCTCTAGCTCTAGGAGCTGCCAGAGTACATAGATATTCTCAGCAGAGAGGTATGAGGAGTTTAGTATTTTGCCCTTGAAAGCCACCTGAGGAATTTTCCCCATTTTTATTTTTTAAAATTAAATAACTTTTTTTAAAGAAGGCACTTTTAAAATTAACACACACACACAAACTGCACATCTTCCCTATAAAATTTAGGGGTGGGAGAAGGAGCTAAAATCAGGCTCAGTTCCCCCATTCCAGCCCTACTCCTTACACCCCCACGCCACTGTGGGTGATTATACTGGCCCTACGGGCCTTCCTGGCTTTTTTTTTCCCTTCCTTCCTTTTCTGAAGTTCATTGAGCACTTAATAAAGGAGCAGAGATACAGCCAGTGTCTGGGCTCCCCCAGTGGCGAAATTATCTGGAAGATAGATGCTAGTCACAGGTAGTGATCGGGTCTTTTCAAGTATTTTTCTGGGGAATGTGGTACCCCTGACTGTAAGTGGTGGGAGAGGGGAGGGGGGGTTAATGGAACTGGGTTTGGGATTATTTTAAAATTATATATATATATATATATAAAGATATATTCTTACATTTTTTCTTTGCCCTCTGTGCTTTGAAAGCACTAGGTAAATGGTTTGGTTTTGCTTTCCTCTCTTCCACAAAATTGGAAGTTGGGGGGGGGTTAATCTTTTCCCTATAAATCATCTTGCCTTGTGGCATGTCTGTCTCCCCTTTCCTCCCCACCTTCATGATGAAGTGCCATTTTTGTTATGTCTCCCTCCCCTAGCTCAGTGGTGCCCAGAGGTACAAGGTGCCCAAGTTTGTCAGTTGAGATTAAAAGTAAGAAACAGAGAATGTGCAATACCGTCTGGCTGGGGGCTATCCCTGCCCTGAGCTGAGTCCCTTCCCTGGAAGCAGACCACCTTGATTGGGGTTTGGAAGTAAGATAGGAGGAGATGGGGAATGATGGGAAGGAAAGCCCATGGTCCAGGCCACAGGGGAGAAGGTGGGGGTTTCTGTTTTTATCCCCTCAGGGTCAGTTACGCAGAAGCTGCTTGCTGGCTAGCATAGTTCTGTGACCCTTTTTCAATTGCTGAGGTTTGATTTCTTACCTGTCCTCATTTTCATACCTTTCCTAGGGCTTAGTGGTGGAGGTGAGGCTTCCCTAATCATGGTAAAGTATTAGCCTTCCACCTCCTCCCTTTCCTCCCTCTCTCTCCTTGGTTCTCTATTTTTTCATCACTGATTGCCTTGTGTCCCTCCAAGTCTATTTCTACTGTCCATCCCCAGGCCTTGGGCTCTGTAGACACTAAACTTCATGCCCTAAGATTTGGAGGGAAGCCCCTCTGTTTAGAGAGTTGTCCTTTACCACTGGGACTCTGAAGTTCAAGGTATTAATAGAATGAGGATCTTGCCAGTTCTTCCTGGCTTCCTCCTTCCCCAGAGGCACTAAAAGTAATAGTTTGTGGACAGTGTCTTCCTTCTGAGAAGCTTGAAAACAGGAGGGTTATTAGGCTTAGCTAAAACTGGGGGAGAGAGGTTCTTTGTTTTATTTTTTTGTCATTTGACCACATTATCTGGACTCCCTCCATCTCTGGAATAAGTATTTCCCCACATTTTTGGATATATGTATGGTAGATAATTTTTTTTTTAAAGACAGATAAATGTTTTCCTGCTTTGGTTACCTTTCCTTTCCCCTTTAAAAGGAATTAGCTATAGAACTGCTTTGTAAAGATGCTTCTTGATATTTTACTTTTGTTCCTTTTCCCCAACCATTCCCTTTTCTCCCTACTTCTCCAGAAGGCATAACCCTTCTCTCCACACCCCTACCCCCAGCCCAACCCTAGGCTCCCTTCCCCCTTCCATCAAGACCTTCTTTAGCTTATGATATTTGCTGCCGAGATGTTATAACAAGGACTCATTCGTGTATATAAGCTATTTCTTGATCCATTTAAAAGGAATTGTACATTGTGTAGAAAAAAAAAACCTGAAAAAGAGAAAAAAAAGCCCTAGCCATGGATATTGTGAAACTGTGTTAATGTCATTTTGTAATGTGCCCGTTTGTGTATGATCCGTGCAAAAGGGTTTCTGGGGAAGGGGAGGGGGTAGGGAGGCAGGGATGTGGAGGGTGGTTAGGGGAGTGGGCCGGGCCCAGCACACTGAGACTGGCAGCTGCTCCAACCCCATCCCTCCTTAGAGATGCCACCTCCCCCACTACCCACCCCTAATTTGTGCCTTGCCTCCCCACCCTGGAGTAGTTCCTCCGGGTCACCAGCACTGCCTTGGCAGAGCCCACTCCCTACCCTAACCTGCCCATCCTCCCTGCACCCCAGCATTAGGTTGATACTGTGGGGGAAGTGCTGGGGGGTGGGAGGTAGCCGAGGAATGGGGCAGTTCCTGGGGGCATCGAAACCAAGTATTATTATGAATTGTAATTGTATTTGCACTGTTTTTTTTCCCTCTGATTGCATCAGCATATATACAATATACCTATATAACAAAATTCAGTGTCAAGCTTTCTTATGCAGGGGATTTCCCCCATCCTACTACCCCCATCCACCAGAAAGAAAGAACTTAGTCACATGGGCCTTTGAGGGTGGACTGTAGGGGAAATATAAAGGATTTCAGTCAGTCATCCTAAAGGGGTTTCATATAGTGAGAGCCCATGTGCACAGTTTTAGGCTGTGTAAACAGGTGAGGTTGGGCTCCTGGTTCCAGCACAAAGCAGGTGGGGGCTGCTAACATCTACAAATCTAATTTGCTTTGTGTGTGAAGTAAGGGAAATGATCTGGCAACCAAGTATGAAATTTAGTGTTGCTTTCTCACCTGCAAAAACAAAAAAATACCTTGAGATGAGGGAAGTGTTGGCTTAAAAACCAGGGAGGTCCCTTACTGATATCCTTGATTTGGTAGAGGTAGCAGAGTGACACCCAAGACATTGGTTAGACCAGTGGCATCTTTGCCCTTATGCCTTAAGGGTGGTTGTGGTTGACCAATGTATGCTCCAGGTTGGTGCTCTACTTACTTATTCACTGTATGAGCTACGTGACGTGGGACTTGCCCCATCTTAGCGCTAAGATATCTTGTCTCCTTTCCACAGATAACTGAACCTCCTAAAGGCAGCTCTTTTAGTCTCCTTCAGGGGCCCAGTTTCCCCCCAGCCTGGGCTGAGAAAACCCATTCTCTTAAGGTTCTTAGTTGGTAAAGCCTGGAGAGGATACAGGAGGATGGGTGAGGCCCTGGTAAAGTGGAAGGATAGATTGGGGTTGGAGGGTGGGGAGCAGGGAGGTAGGATGGGATTGACCTTCCCTGAATAGGGTGGGTGGGAGGGGAATAAGACCCTTTTGCACAACTCTCTTTAAGTTTCCTTTAAAAAAAAAAAAAAACTCATTCTAATTTTCTGCATCGTGTTTGGGAAATAAAAAAACTAAGACCAATAGAAACTGGTTTTCAAAAAGGCAAATACACTCCCATCTGTTTCAGATGCTGCTGAGCATTTCAGCAGTGACAGATTCAAATAATAAGCTAATTTTTGGAGAAAGGATTAAAAGAAAAAAAACTTTGTAATATTTATCACTTGCAAGATATGTTTAATAAAGAAAGGAATGGTTTCTAAACTTCCTGTGGCTTGTGCTTTAGTCAATGGTGGGGGTGGGGTGGCAGTTCGGTGAGAAAAATTTAGAGGCAATTGAGCTATGGTAGTATTCTCTATAGTCCAGCCTTGGGATTCCTTTGGTTGGTACCCTTCTCTTTGTGGTCATTACTTAAAGCCCTTACCTTCTGTGTTCTTGTTCCTTTCCACCTCTAGCTGGAGCCTGTGTTTGAAAGCCATAGTAACCTTGTGACTTAAGGTCTAGAGCAGTGGTTCTCAACCTTCCTAATGCTGCAACCCTTTAATACAGTTCCTGTGGGTTGAGACCCACAGATTGACAACCGCTGGTCTAGAGCACCGTGGGAAGGGGGCTAGGCCTCCACTCTCCACGGGAGAGGTGTCCTGCCTTTCCTGGGAAGTGTTCCTAGGGTCTAATGACAGAATACTCTCTAAAAGCTGATTTTTCCAGATGGTGCCTTCTAATAGGAGTTCACACTGCTCTGCTCTTAGCAAGCTGCAGAGGGTAGTTCCCTAACAGTGCATGAAGCATCCCCTGAGATACTCGGAACTGCTCTGTCATCACCCACCTCATCCAAGTTCAAAAAAGAACATTAAGCAGATCCTAATTTATTTTTTTCCATTTTGGTCATTTTTTTCCAACAAAGGACTTAGACCAAAGAGGAGTGTCATTTCCCCAAGGACTTGAAGTCTAGAGCTGTCCTGAGCACCGTGCTTTCTGCCACATTAGTTCCAGCTGCTTCCACACCTTGTGCAGAAGGGAGCTGTTGAGGGCCAGGGCCCAGCCCTACTGGAGTCATGACTGGTACTAGCATTACTCTGTAAAAGCACAGAGGAGACAATGTTTGGGGGCCCCTAATCCCTGGGCTTTCCTTCCCCCAAGACCCTTCCCTTTTTTTGGCATAGTACTGGAGAGCTCTGAAAGGAGAGGCTGATTGAGGGAATGGCTGGGGCTTTGGCTTTAGGTCCTAACAGCTGGACAAGGAGGATCTAGGGGGTCCTGGGTCCCATAGGCTGGCAGCAGGAGTAGTGAGAAAGAAGTATTCTTTGGACCCCTAGAATTGAGGGAGGGAGATAGGGTGCTCCACAACCTCTGTGTTCATTCTACAAAAGGGACCCAAGACTGCCAAAATCCTCTTTCAAAAATAAACATCAGGTCAGGAGGGATTCCCCCTGGAGAGGGGCTAAATGATTTAGACCTGGGAAGTGGGAGATAGCTATCTGGTTGCTCGGAGAAGAAGCTCATGTGAGCTTAGATATTCAAGACTGATTGCTGGGAGAAGGGGGACAAGGAACTTGGTACCTACCCACCACTCAGACCACAAGAAATGTAGGCTGCCTGTCAGTGGGCATAAGAAGATAAACAGATTTTAGACTTGAGGCATTCAGAGTGTGAGATGGAGGTGGTAATAGAACCTGTAACCCTGCTGCCCCTTCTTGGGGAGAGCTCTTAGAGCTATGTATCTTTGGGTGGGTTTGCATTTGGATTAAGGGATGGGTATACTGGAGTAAGAGGCAGGAGTAACTGGGTCAGAGGTAATCCTCAGTTGAGTTTGGTTAGTTTGAGGTTATTTGGTATGTTGGGAGGAAAGAATAATTCTTACATTTTGTGAGGTTGTGAGAGGAGCTGAGACCATGGTCTCTACTCCCCCTCTTCATCTGACCAGCCCTGCCTCTCCTTGGAGAGGGGCTGGGGGGCTTTTATTTCTTTTCTGACTCTGGGTAACAGGGAAAGGTGAGGTAGATTTTTTGGTGGGTCCAGAGTTGGTAGCATCTGGGAGGGAGCCAACTTGGAGGGCCTTTGGTGAAGGGTGGCTGTTCCATGGTCAACTGAGGATGAAGGAAAAGGTGAAGCCTCTGTCCCAAAGCCCAAACACACCCCTTTCCCCACTAACTCCTTGTCACATGCAGCCCCCTCACCTAGGTAATGAGTTCAGTCTTCTCCCTTGCCTTCTTTCCACTTGAGCCTGGCCTCCATGGCCCACAGCTCTATCCAAGGCAGTATGAGGCACTGCTCAGCATTCTTGGGACCCTTGGGTGCAGAGGAGGCTGCCCAGATAGGAAGGGTCAGCACCATGGCCCTCTGTGGGACCTCCCCTTCCTTGCTATCAGTCCCAGCCCTTCACCCTGATATACATCCCCAGGAATGGAGAGATGGGCCCCTTGCTTGTATCACTCAATGCCAAGATACTGGTTCTGGCCCACTCTGCCACCTCCATCCTCTGCCTGGAGAACCCCAATCCTCTCTGTCCTGCTTATGTAGCCCACCAGGCCTCCTACTCCTGGTACCACACAGCTTGGAAAAGAGCAGGCTCCTCCTTTCATTGTCTTGTTTTCTTTTTCTGTTTTGGGTTTCTTTGTTTGTTTTTTTGAGATAGTCTCACTTTGTTGCCCCTGGTAGAGTGCTATGGTGTCACAGCTCACAGCAACCTCAAACACTTGGGCTTCTCTTGCCTCAGCCTCCCAAGTAGCTGGGATTACAGGCGCCCGCCACAACCCCGGCTATTTTTTTGTTGTAGTTGTCATTGTTTAGCAGGCCCAGGCTGGGTTGGAACCTGCCAGCCTGATGTATATGGTTATGACGCCCTAACCACTGGGCTACAGGCACCAAGCCAGCGTTGTCTTGCTTTTGCTTTGGTGAGACAGAGTCTCACTCTGTTGCCCAAGCTAAGTGCCCTGGCATCAGCCTAGCTCAAACTCCTGGTGTTGCAGGAAAATGGCAAATTAAAACATAAGACACTTACACCCACAATATACAGGAAGTAACCTTTAATTGCCAGTGAGAACTCAGGTGCCTCAAGGTGTGAAATGCTGAGTTCCAAGGAAGAGTTTTTTCTAGGCTCTTTTATAGCCTTTTGTTTTTATTCAGTTCAATATCAGCTATAGGTGTTAGAAACCAGGGAAATCAATATATAACCACCTCCACAATCATACAAACCGCAAAACATAACTATAGTCCATAAAGTAGGAGGGAAGAGGAGAAAGAGGAGACAGGGGTGGGGAGAGGGGATATGGGAGAAGGGAGGGTATTGGGGGGACCTCACCTAATATGCATGATGCAATGGTACATTTCAAAACGATTAAGAAATGAGTATAATTGTGATGGATGTGTTACTTGGTTCAATGTAAACATTTCACGTTGTATATCAAAGCAGTACCCTGAACCCCATAAATGCATCAATGTACAAGGTTATGATTTAATAAAAAATAATTATTTTAAAAAGGCATATCTGAAGGGTACAGGAAAAAAAAAGAAACCAGGGTATTGTTATTAGTTAAAGAGTTTTTTTCAAGGTTATTTCAGCTCAGTGTAAGGTTTGTCCTGATCTTTGGAGAAGTCTTTCTGCACCTCCCTGCTGCTTTCTCTGGATCACTGAAAAGTGTGAGATTTATTTCTTCTTCTCATTCCCCCCTTTGAGACACCATCAATCAGGAATGGGGTCTCATTCATTATTGATATCTATGGCTACTTGGTAATATTGTTGAGCCAGGAACACTTTGCCTGCGTTCTCTTTTATTACTATTGCAGAGACTATGCCTTTGAACAAAGATAGGTAATAAGGGGCCGTGCCTGTGGCTCAAGGAGTAGGGCCCCGGGCTCCATATGCCAAGGGTGGCAAGTTCAAACCTAGCCCCAGCAAAAAGAAAAAAAAAAAAAGGTAATAAGCAAGGTAAAAGCAAATATCTTCCAACTATAAAAAGAAAACCTGTAATCATAATTTTAAATCCTATTTTCACATCACACTTTGTCTTTTCAGTTTAAAAGCATAAACTGGAGGCCGGGTGCAGTGGCTCACACCTGTAATCCCAGCACTCTGGGAGGCCAAGGCAAGTGGATCACCTGAGCTCATGGGTTCTAGACCAGCCTGAGCAAGAGCAAGACCCCTGTCTCTAAAAAAAATATAGCCAAGCGTTGTGGCAGGTGGAGGCTGAGGCAAGAGAATCACTTGAGCCCAAGAATTTGAGGTTGCTGTGAGATGTGACACCATGGCACTCTACCAGGAGCAACAAAGTGAGACTCTGTCTCAAATAAATAAAACTGGAAAACTTGGGTGGTACCTGTGGCTCAAAAGAGTAGGGAGCCTGCCCCAAATGCTGGAGGTGGCGGGTTCAAACACAGCCCTGGCCAAAAACTTCAAAAAAGAAAAAAAAAGGAAAACTTAACAGCTCTTTAGTCTCTAGGGGCAGTAGGAAGAAGGTTTGATCATGCCTATTATACAACTCCCGTACCATCCCTCAGGAAGTTTAATGTAGGTTCAGTGTCCACAGATTTACTAGAGACCTGAGGGTACTGCCCAGTTAATGCCGATCCCTGGATAGTCCTAAGCAACTTTGAGCTTTGGGAATCTACTCAGGTGGTTTAGTTCAGTTATGTCCTTTCTCCACCAGGTAGTACTGTTGGTGCTTTCACTATATATTTTTAGGCCTAGACATGACAGCTTCCCCACAGGGTCAGTGAAGCTATTTCCTGCTCAGGCTAAACCAGAGCATTGACCTATGATGGACGTTTTTATTTATTTATTTATTTATTTATTTATTTTCTGGTTCAGGAAGAGCAGAGGCAGCTGCCTTTATTAGAGGTCATGGGCCAGCTGACTTCAATCAAAGGCCACACACTTGATCTTGAAGTCACCATCAGCTGCCATGTAGTTGATGGCCTCCAGGTTGAGGCGGTTAGGGAACTTGAATGTGTAACCATCTGCCAGCTTGACGGTCAGGTTGGCCTGTTCAAAGCTGATGCACAGCTCCACGGCACTTCCAGGCTGGAAGGGAAAGGCAGCCTCCCGCTGCTCAGCCCCCCAGGCCCCGCTGTCCTTGCTAATGTACACGATAGTATTGGCCTCCCTGTGCGTATCAAAGCGAGGGTTGAAATGAAGGCACAGGTTGTTGCTGTCTTTGCCCAGGTTCAGCACAAAGCTCTTGGCGTCGGGGGCCACCTCGCCCCATACTCTGAGGCACTCCCCAGGTTTGAGATTCAGGTTGCTGGCGACCAGACCACAAGCCATAATTGAAGCCGGAGGATGTTCAGGACCGGTGCACCAGCCGTCTGAAGACTCCACTTGCATGATGGACGTTTTTAGTATCCAGAAGCTTACTCCCACTGTGCGCTTATAGTGAGTAATGTTAGGAGTAGGATCGGAGGGAACCACTGGCTTCCCAGGGCCATTTGCTGCTCATCCTTGTCCCACCACAGACAAAGCAAGATATTTAAAGACTGAGCAATGTTTTCTTTTCCTTTTTTTGAGACAGAGTCTCACTTTGTCACCCTTGGTAGAGTGCTCTGGTGTCACAGCTCACAGCAACCTCAAACTCTTGGTCTTAAGCCATTCCCTTGCCTCAGCCTCCCATGTAGCTGGGACTACAGGCACCCACTACAGCACCCAGCTATTTTTATTTTTTGGCTATAGTTGTCATGGTTATTTAGCAGGCCAGGGCTGGATTCGAACCCACCATTTCTGGTGTATGTGGCTGCCCTAGCCACTGAGCTACAGGTGCTGAGCCTTAAGCAATGTTTTCTGCCAGGTGGAGGAATAAAATTTTAGCTTTAGGAGGAATATTTGGAGCAGGTTGTTGTAATTCATCATAGAAAGCCTGGTACATAGACTTTGAGTTTCTTTTGCTTATTTTAATTTCAACTGCTATACCTACGATAGGGTCTCTTCTATGTACATTTATTCTCAACATAAGGCTTTCACCTTTTGCCCATCTAGGATCAGAAGGGTTGGTTATATTTAGTAACAGTGGATAATAATTTCCCCAGTTACAACTAGGGGAGGCTTACTATCTAATGGGTAACAATTTCCAGGGATACAAGGTGAAAGAGCTTCTCCATTTATTAAATGTATTGTCACTGGGATGAATCCATGTGGATTTGAGACCACATGGCCATACTATTCAAGGTCAGTGCACACACCCTGTACAGGTGCCTGATCTGTGTCATATGTACTTATCTCTTTTAGTATATCTCCTTTCCCAAGATAGATTCATGCATGCCCCCTCAACTGTTACGTTATTAAAAACGTGACATGCATCAAAGGTTAGTAATACTTGTTTAGGTATTCCTTCTGTTATTACTCGGGTTATTGTCTTTCTAGGGATATCAGTATACCACATAGCAAATTCAGTCTGCTCTGGGGGTTCAGAAGGATTGTAGGAAACAGCAGGTCCCTGGAGGACACACATATCTGATATTGGGGTTATTATATATGCAAATTCTTTCAGGCTTTCCTGTATATTCATAATAAGCATAAACCAATAACACAGTTTTGATAGTTTGTCTGGTTTGGGTTACCTCTTGGATACATTTTTCACAACCTTCACCATGTCTTACACCTAAGATTAAAGAAGAACGGTGGGAACGTCCAAAGCAAAGAATCCCACGCTGCTGCTGCTCATCCTCAAGCTTTTGCCGTGTGTAGACCAGTCAGCTCCCGGCATGGGACTGCGGCAGGGCTGTAGTCTGTTTCCTCAAGGTTAAGTGGTGGGGATGCTCCTGGGTGTCATTGGACTGTCCACTCCCCATTGCTGGCTGGTTTCATATGTGAGCAATGTATCCAGGCAGGAATTCCATCCACCTTCACTACTGTTGGTGTGGACAAGATCACTAAGTAGGGGCCTTTTCATCATGGTTTCAGCGGGCTCAGGCTCCAATCTTTATTTTTGTATTTTATTTTATTTATTTATTAATTTATTTTGAGAAAGAGCCTCAAGCTATTTCCCTGGGTAGAGTGCTGTGGTGTCACAGCTCACAGCAACCTCCAACTCCTGGGCT